GAGACAGCGCCTGAGACTTCAGCGCCTGGCTCCTTGCCTGCATTCCGTTCTAAGCGGAGGAAAGGCAACAAGGAGCTCCAGGGGCGTCTCCTCCCCCACCTCAAACTGGACGGGACGCCCCCCTCGCCGATCCCCGAGGGGACCCCAGAGAGCGCACTACACAGCGCTATCATTTTGTCTGCTCTGCGGGCCCTGGCGGACCGCAGCAGCAACGCTGCAAGGGCGGGATAGAAGAAAGAGAGAGCCCCATAGAGCAGAACAAAAGAGCGGCTGAAACTACATACCGAGTTGGCTGCAGCTGCGAATGCTGCGAACCTGTGAGGGGTTATGAGGGGATCGAGGAAGGGGGGTGGCTGGCCATCGAGGCCCCACGGGGAATCTGGGGAGTTGCGTCCATGCAGATAAATACGCAGGACGTGGAAAGGTAAGTCCTCAGATGTGAGGTGATGTACAGACAGGTGCATCAGCCGCTTCTCTGTCGATCCCGCAACATACCCAAGAGAGTTGGACGGCGAAGGCTGCAGCCCACCAAAACCTGAAGGCGTCACTGCACTCTCCATCCCCCCTTCATAAGAAGATGAGCCCGCACTCCGGATCCCAAAGAGGGCGCCACAGGCCCAGCCTTGCTGCCCCTGTCGCCGGGCCAGCTCTCTAAACAGGGCAGCCAAACCAAGTAGGGCTACGCAGACAGCTCCTGTGGGGACAAGTACTGAGAAGCAGAGAAGCCGGTCGAGAATAAAGAGAAGGGGAGGGAGACACTTGGGGTTGATGGAGGCATCCGGAAGGCCCGCAGCACAGGCAAAAGGGCACTGGGGGCCACCAACCCCTTCCTGTGTGTAGACTGCATCATCTGACGGTTTGTTTTTGCAGCTAATACACGCCGTTCCGCCCCCCACAGAGTAAAACCCTATAGGGCAGGGGCTGCAGCTCCACCCTGCATAGCCCGGAGGGCAACCATATGGGCTCGTCACCTCTCCTGGGGCCCCTCGATGCCCCAAAGGGAGCTTTAGCGGAGCGCAAGCCGGGGAAGGATCGCTTGGCCCCCCTCCTACCTTCAGAGACCCAACGAATCCACCAGCATAGTCAAGGGGCTTCAGCCACGGGACAAAGGCGCTGGCCTCTTGTTCATCTTCCAGCTCCTCGTCTTTCTCAGCTGTCTCCTCACGGATCAGGCTGCTACTAGTGCCAGCTTCGTTGATCCTGCTGCTTCTGCTGTTCCTGCTGCCTCTGCCGTTCCTGCTGCTCCTGCGCCCGCGCTGCTGCCGAGCAGTAGGGCCCTTCCCCCAGTAGTGCAGTGAGGTGTCCCACAGGAAGTTTATCGCTCCTCCACCGCCGCCGCCCCCCGTACAGCGGCCTCCGTGGCCTCCCTGGGCCGAGATGGTGCCGTGGCCCTTGAGCGCCCCCGCCTCTATAACTATAGATCCCCCAGCTCCTCCTCCCTGCCCGAGCT